TCTTTCAAAAGATTTTCTAAGGTTCAGTTCATGCCATATGGCAATTTTGGACTATCATTCAGTACAACAAAAGAATTTAGAGTCCTTTGGTTTTTGTTGTATATTTCTTTGAACTCTAGGTGACAAGAAAATCATTCAGTTTTTCTTTATCTGTTTGTGTCTCTACCATAAGGGAATGGAAGAAACTGTTTAATAGCAGCAATTGATTTCCTTTCAGTTGGAAGGTCATGTGATCTGACAGTATCTCTGAAAGTAAATGCCAAGAGTAAGCAGTTGTCCACCACCAATAATTAATGTCCTGGGTTATACATATGGTTTTGCAAATTACATTGGGAAAGAGTATCCCAAGAAAGAAGATCAATACCCGAAGAAGACAGCATTTAAAAAATGTATCCTCTTAACTCCTTTAGTCACAGCTAAATATTATGCAAAGCACAGCCTCTCTAATTCCCTTTTCAGGATAAAGATAATAACTACAACTGGTCCAAAGGGATCTAAACAGCAATTGTACAAATGGCAATGATGTCAAGGGAATGCCTTTGAACCAGTTTACAATGGTTCTCTGGGGACATCCTGGGAACACATCATTTCCCAAGGGTGCTGCATGACTTCTAAAATCCAGCTGGGTGGAAGTAGAAATAGGCTGGTGCTGTGTTGACAGCACCCAGGCTGAGTCAGTTGTGTGCAGGCTGACATATAGACCCTGACCCCAGATGAGGTTTGGGCCCACGCAAGCGGGGCCGTCAGATAAGGACAGGCTGACGCACGGACACTGGTCCCAGACATAACAACCTTGACTCCGGAGCTTGCTGTGCAGGCGCCAGGCTCCAGGGACATAAGCTCTTTATGTAAGCATGATTCACAGCCGCGGGAGGGAGCATACACACTTCTGTGTGCTCTCCTCCCCCAAAACTTCTATATAATGGTTGCTATTGCTAAATAAAGATGCAAGCTAGCTGGTTCCTCCTAATGTCAGCTCCATGTGCTTTCTTTTCCCTGGGCATCTCACCGCTGAAACCCCCTGGGACCTCCCCGGCGACAACATGTGTGGCCTTGTTTTTCACCTCAGTGTTTTGTGTGATTCTTCCACTTTCTCACATTTCCTGCCTGAAACTTTCTGGGACTGCATTCGAAAAGAACTTATTTTTCTTCAAGAGGAGTCATACTCTGTGCCTTTCTTACCACCCAACAACCCCCCTACCTGAAGGCAGAAGCAAACATCAATTGAACTGACCAGCAAGTGCTGCAGTTGTTCAAGATCACCTTGCCATGAACTTTGTAGAAGCTGCATTTGGGCAGCCTGGATTCCGTTGATGGCCAAAAGTTGTCTTTGGACTGTGCAGTTAGCCACATGGACGGCAGTTTGGTTGTTGTAATTGCAAAGGGTGATGTCTGCTCCCTTTTCCAGAAGAAATTTGACAACCTGCAACACAACAGCATTCATATTTAGCATTTTAGAGTATCACTAGTGTCTTCAGGGCTGGAGACATATCTAAGAGAACTTAGATATGTCTCCAATTTATGTTATAAGAAAGCAGAATAAGGGGGGCACAAAATGAAGGATTGATTTGGATGCAGGCAATGGCTATTTGTCCTTTTTTAAATATGGAAAACAAAAATGTCCATAATATGGATGGTTTGGGGATGGTATTATTTTAAAAACTGGAGGTCTGTGAGTATTTTATGTTAAACCCACATAAAACATTGAAGTCCTATTAGTATCACCTGTAATTTAGAATATAAACCCCCGAAATTCAAGCTTATAGATTCTTGAATGTTACAAGTATTTCCACAAGTATTCCTAGGGAGAGAATAAACTCTATTCAAAATGGTGAAGGCATAATTCAACAAATATGGACTGAAAGACTTGTGTGTCAAGAACTGTCCTTGGTGCTGAGACTCCAATCATGAACAAGACAAATGACCGGCCTTTAAGGTACTTATAATCCAGTGAGGAGCAGAGACAGATAAAAAGGCTATCATGAGACAGTGTGATAAATGCAATGATAGAGTAAATACAGGAGGCTGAGGGGGCACTTAGAAGACCTATTAAGCTGTCTTAGAGGAGCTGGGAAGACTTCTTAGAAGAAGTGATGTCTAAGTTGAGAACTGCAGGATCAGACTCAGTTAAGGAGGCAAAGACTGGGAAAAAATTGTTTCAAGCAAAGGATATAGTGTGATTGTGAACAAAGTACTGTGAATGCTATGGACAGAATTATGTCTCCTAACATACATTGAAGTTCTAGCCTGCAATGTAATTGTATTTGAAGAGAGTCTCTAGGAAGTACTTAAGGTTAAATAAGGTTATAAGGATGGTGCCCTGATCTGATAGGATTAGTGTCCTTATAAGAAAAGGCATTCTCTCTCTCTCTCTCTCTCTCTCTCTCTCTCTCTTTTATCCAAGTATCTTACTTCAGTGTACTTTTGTCTATATTCCCTACTGCCACTGCAGACCAGGCCACCATGATCTCTTTTATTTTTTTTAGCTGAGCCATCCTGCTACCTGTTGGCAGCTCAGCGGCAGCTCAGCTCGGGCCGGGCATTGAACCGCTGTTGCTCAGAGCTCAAACTCTTGAGTGAGCTCTTAACCAACTGAGCCACTCAGCCAGCCCCACCATGACCTCTTGACTGAAACAATGCAACAACCCTCTAAGAGGACTCTACATTTTCAAATATCTTGCATGAAACCCATTATAATAGCTAGAATCAAAAGTCAGATACCACTGTGTTGGCAAGATGTGGAGAAATTGGAACCCTTATACACTGTTGTAAATGGTGCAGCCACTTTGGAAAACCACCTGGCAGTTCCTCATATGATTAAACATAGAGTTACCAAATGAGCTTGCAATTCCACTATCAGGAATGCTAGGAGTGGAATGAAAGAGAAATGAAAACATATGACCACACCAAAACTTGTACACAAATATTTATAGCAGCATTATTCATTGTAACCAAAACATGGAGGCAACCCAATTTCCATCAATGGACAAATGGGTAAATAAAATGTGGTATATCCATATAATGGAATATTCTTCAGACATAAGAAGGAATGAGATACTGATATATGCTACAACATGGATGAACCTTGAAAACAGCATGCTAAGTGAAAGAAGCCTGTCACAAAGACCACATACTATACAATTCCATTCATATGAAAGACCAGAATAGGAAAAGCTATAGAGACAGAAAGTAGATAATGGATGCGTAGGGCTAGGGTGGGGAAAGAGAGGAAGATTAGGGAGAGATAACTGAAGAGTATGAGGCTTCTTTTGGTGGGGGTGGAGAGTTCTTTTTGAGGTGATGAAATGTTTTAAAAATGACTGTGGTAATGCTTGCACATTCATGTGAATATACTAAAAATCATTGAATTGCATACTTTAAATGGATGAATTGTATGGTATGTGAATTATATCTCAATAAAGCTGTTTTTGAAAATTTCTTTGTATGCCTTTGTGGCCCTGAGTGATCTGATCTCTGCCTTCCTTTCCAGCCTCATTTTGTGCCACTCTTCCTCCTCCCTCTGCAAGCTCTAATCACCTTTCTATACCTCAAATATGCAAATTTTTCTTAACTAAGATCCTTCCTCTCTGTTATTCCCTCTGCTCTAACTGCTTTTCAGATGTCATCCCTTATCATTATTTTAGTCTTAGCATAAATATAACACATCAGTGAGGACTTACTTGACCACTTTCTCAAAAGAGGATTCACTCCATTGGTTACTTCAAAGCGCTAATAGCAATTTGTAATTTAATTAAGTGCTTTTTGTTTCCTTATTTATTGTGTTTTGCCTTCATTAGATTGCAATTTCACAAGGGCAAGAGACCTTGTCACATGAATAAATATTTTATGAAAAAGTGAAAAATTTAAGATAAATAAATGGTGATACTGTTTAATAAAATGGGAAACACTGATGCTAGTGTTCCTCAGTAGGATTAAATTTGGGAGGAAAATAATAAATATGCTTTGAACATGATGCATTTGAGTTGTCTGTGACATAAAAGTGGAGATATACAGTTGGAAGCTCAGCATACTATATATATACAGCAATTCAGATGAGAGCTGTGGGATGACTTACAGAATTAGCACCTATCCCCACATTACTGAGGAATACCACCATTTAATGGATGAGAAGGAAAAATCCATAAATGAGACTGCAAAGATGTTGCCAGGAAGGGAGGAGAAAAAAACAGAAGGAAGCCAATTGAAGAAAGCATTTCATGAAAAATTGGTGTGCAATGCTGCTAAGAGCTGAAAATTATCAAGGACACTGTAGGTCATGTTGGAAAAGCAGTTTCAGTGGAGTGGTAGGAAAAGATGATGGACTGCAATCATTTGAAGAGGTGAGGAAGTGGGGGCAGTGAAGATTGACTAGCAGAACATTCTTTAGAGAGGCTGTTGAAAGACAATTCTCCAGAAACTCCAGAAACTTGTTTTCTATAGGTCTTGTGAGCAGACGCGTTGATTCCCTTCATCCTAGACTATGTTTCTAAAGATGTTTGTACAGTGAACAACCTTGGAAGATAGAGATAGTGGCTCCCTCTGCAGCATTAGGAAGATATGCTTACTGGTCATTATAAATGATTCAGGTTTCCTAAGCTCAAGACCCCCCTCCCCCTGCCTTATAATTCAACTCACTGTATGTGCAGGTATCACTTCCTCATGCTGCCTTGTGGACATTAGGGCTCAGGGAACTGAAGCAAATGCTGATGGACTATTGCTATTGTGAATAATACACTGCCATTTTTCTCTGACCCAGGGGTCTTGTGTCTTCTGCCAGATTCTGAAATGGCGGCAAGCTGACTTACTACTTGTAAATAAGGAAAAATATCAGATGCTTCACAGGTGATAATTTTTGCAAAAGGTGAAATTATGAGAGAGACAGGAATGACAGAGGAAGAATGAGAGCTTCAATCTCTAATGAATGGGATTTAAGGAAAGTTCATAGGAAATGATAGCAAACATATTGACCAAATTATATTGTAAATTGGATCCTCCACTTCATTGATTATTAATAACTGTTAAAGGAACTGGGAGGCAGCTAGGCTGAGTATCAGGAAATAATTTCAAAACAGCTGTTCCCTGGTTTTTGATAACTCTTCTATGGGTGGTATCTTCCTCACCAATCTGGCTATCAACCTCAGGTCCACACCATTGTAATAAATAAAGCTAACATTTGTCCAGGGTGGGTGGAAGATTCTACTCCCTTTCAGGCAACAGTTAGAGATGCATATTTTCACTGAGCATGAAAAGAGAAAAATTCGTGACTGAAAATGGGCAAACTTTGAACTTTGGCTGGTTCATTTGGGATATGAGTGGTTAAGATGTATAATGCTAATTAAGGAGGAGTGATAATAGTTATCTTACAGCTCAACCCTTCCTGCTGCCAACCTTAGATCAATTTAATGATGATGGTAAAGTCTCAGAATTTTCTGTAGTGGGCTTCAGCTACTTTAAGGGAATATTGGCTTTCTTGGGGAGATTTCCCTATGACAGACAAATTCCCGTGGTAAGCCACAGATGAGGCATTAAATATGTTTAGGTTCTTACTGGCTTGGATTGGGTTACAATGCTGATGAAGGTGACTCACTGGAGAAAAGTGAAATGGCCACAAATAAATCTAGACAAATTCTTGTGATTAGCCCCACTGCCCTGGAAAATTCCCCTAGCCCATATATTAAAACCAGGTGAAAATTTAAGAGATGTTGTCATGACAATGAGTCAGCCAGTGATTCAGATTAATATAAAATCCATTTTTTACAAAGTCCTGCTGTGAAAGTTAAGCCTGAATCAAGCAAAGGCTTCAAGCCCTGCAGCTCCAGTCAGAAAGCAATGGGTCTGTTGCCAATGAGTCAAGGGATCCCTGAAGCTGAAATATATGATGTCAGTAATAATGACCTTGCCACCTCACACAGGGCTTTGGATGGATTGAAAACACTGGGAGTTCATTTGGTTGAGCAACAGGAAGCCTCCATACTTCTGGAAACCAAAAGTAAATGGTAGCCACTCTCTTTCCCCATGATCCTAACCTGTCCTCTTCCTGTACCTCAACCTCAGATGCTTTAAGGTAAAAGATCATTAGAAGTGGGAACAGGGACACCCTGTCTACAAAGGGTGCTGAAGGTCATGGTCACCCATGAGAGTATTTTCGTGAGCTTTGAGGAAGGGAGGAATTAAAACTTTCATGGCTCTCTTGAAGTCACCATCCTGCCCAGTACCTTGGGAAAAGTGGGTGTCTGAATTCAGCTAATGGGGTTTGGGCAAGGTTTGTAGTGGGGAAGGGAAAATAATGTGTTTCTATGGGTGAGGCCCTTTAGGTCAGTTCAGTATACTATGACCATGGCTTCTAAATCTGAATGTGTAATAGGAATTAATGTGTTATAAGTGTATACTTTCCAATTCCATTAAGTGTCAGGGAGGAGTCTT